CTATGGAATTGTATATCAAAAAAGTACACAAAAAAGTCCGCAATGGTATATATGTCTATCTCGTAAGGATAAACCACGGTAACTATTTTCATATTCTAAATTATTAATTAAAACATTATGGCTTATTTACGAAGCTATTTTAAAGAATAAATTATTATTCCTATTCTAATTAAATACGTTAAACACGTTGTGCATTTAATGTACATCAAAATTGCTTTTCACGGCATATCATTGAAATGATTATTTAAGAAGATATTAGAGGTTTAAAAGTTGCCTTCGCCAATGGTTACTGTAGGTTATCCATGAGCTATATACCATCGCGGAGTTTTTCAACCGACTTCAAAAAGAAGGAGGCTCTATGTTCCACTGTATGTTTTTTTTAATGTATGTTCACCGATTGTGGACCGATTTAAAAAAATCTTCTTTTATTAGAAAGAGCATAGTCCTGAGGTAGTCTCATTGTTACCAAGTCAGGATCTCAAATTTTTTGGGGAGGTATTAGGTGTTTCATATATTTTCTAAAGCTATTCTAGTATTTGCTACTAGTAGTAATTATCTTGTTTTGATGAACTGGTGATGGAAGGTACAACTCCTAAACGGTTAAGAGTTGGAGGACAGTTCTTTAAGTACCATATGTATGTTTAGACTTTTAGTTGTATTCTTTCAAGTCATTCAGGTTAGCTGGTGATGGAAGGTTAAACTCCTGAACGGTTAGGAGTTAGATACTTTGATTTAAGATGCCGACCTGTAATGTACAGGAAAGAAAAGACATGCAAAGCTGAGGGTTGGATTAGCAACCTGCACTATTACTAATACCTACACTACTAATACCTAGCTTGTGTTGTTCTAATTTAAATGTTAACAATTAGTCTTAATCGTTGCTTTTTTACACACACACATACACACACACGCACACACACACACACACACACACACACACACACACACACACACACACACACACACACACACACACACACACAAATACCATCATTATGCCATCTTTACGCGACTTAGCGCAACATAAACATTGCCTTTGGGAATTTTAGGGTAGTGGCCACTGCACCAGGGACTTCCTTTCTAGGGTATACCTGGTTCCCCGGCTATTAGTACCCGAGACGGCGTGCAGGCGTAGGCGTAGGTGGTATCCGAGGGGATTTCCGCACGAAAAAAAAAAGAGTGCCCTGGAGTTTATACACCATAACCGCTCAACTTTGGATTAGCCGTAGCATTCTCTGTTCAGCATCCACGTAGCTTTTAGTTGCCTGATAGGTTTATTGGGCAAATAAAAGCTACACAAAAAATCATAAAGCGATAGGAAATTCGTTCCGAACGGGGGTCCATAGACCCCTCACGCCATTTTTTTTGTGTTTAAATTATTTTCTTTGCGCTTTTCCATTTCTATCTGAAATAGGTTTAAAATAAGTAACGATTTTAATGTGTACTAACATTTGTGCTTAATATTAATTCGTAACAAAATACAAAATAAAACTCATTATATAAATAATAATACACTACGAACGGACGCACTGTCGCTTTGAATTTTCGTGTGGCACTGAAATTTTTGTGCCATACTAAAATGTATGGACAAAGGGGATCTTTTTTCGCTAAAAAATGAATGATGTTTAAGTTTAGATTAGGGCTTTTCGGCCCCAATTAGTAAAGTAAATTAACAGTTAATGTATTATCTATACTTTTTTCTCGCGATAAAAAAAACTATTTTCAAATAGAGCAACGAAATAGCAGATATATTCAAAATAGCAGAGGTAAAAGCAAAATTAAAAAAAAAACCGATTTCGATGTTTTGATCAATGTTGAGGTTTGTTTTTTTTTGAAAATAAAGAATTATTTTATTATTTTAAGTTTCTTTTTTTTTGTTTTTTATCTTAGAGGGGGCAGACGAGCAGACGGGTCACCTGATAGAAGGTGACCATCGCTGCCCACGAATGTCTGCAACTCAGGAGTCACAAACGTATTGCCGGCCTTTTAGGAAGGAGTGCGTTCTTTTCTTGAAGGTTTGAAAGTCGTATCGGTCTGGAAATATTGCAGACAATAACCCGTTCCACATATTGGTTGTGCGAGGCAAAAAGTGTCTCGAAAAGCGCACAGAAGTCGAGCGCCAACTATCCAAGTGATGAGGTTAAAAAATTTGCCGTATGGCGAAAAGTTGTGGCTGATATTGGTCTGAACAATTCATCGGAGCACTCTCCATGATATATGCGATAGAGAATGCAAAGTGAAGCCACATCTCTATGTAATGCTAAGGGATCGAGCCGATCGGAGATGTTTGGTCAATCGATGCGGTCCAGAGGGAGAAGCTGGTACTGAGGTGCCCCTGCTTAGAGATGAGAACTGTATATGCGGTTTATAGAGCTGAAGGCGGTCTGCCAGAGTGAAATACTGCCTCGATCTGTTCAGCACACCGAGCTTCTTCACGCGGTAAAAATGTAGACTCATCTATTAAGCAACTGAGATTTTCTATAGTGTCATTTAATGAAGTGAGTTATCTGTTTTTTTTAATAGTAAGTGCTTATTCGCGCGTTTCTTTAGGGACGTGCCTCTTCAGTGAATAAACTGGACATCATTTTCTCATCAACATTTAACAAAATAAATAGGCATATTAGGTAATCTTATAATAAATTGGTATACGTAACACAATTAATACATTATCTTACAAGTTTCAAATAAGAACTTGAATTAATTAATAGGCGTCGATTTTTAGACCTCGTCGACCCCCAAAATCAGTTTCCGCTTTAGTCGACCACTGGGAAAGCGATATTATTGAGATGGATACAGACATTGCGAGGCATGTGTAGTGACCCGTGTGTGTAGTGGCATGTGTAGTGAGACGTGGCTACGCAGTGTGAGGGCGAGCCAGCGAGTGTCGGCAAACGCTCCACGATCAAATCGTATATGTAGACGTATCTAGATGCACTTTTGACTCGGCTGAGAAAATGAAAGAGAGAGAAAAAGAACTTTCCTTTGCTGGCTCGCCTTGTGTGTGGCATATACCTCGCCACAATTGAAGCTATGCACATTGCGAGTCAAGTGCTTCTCACGCGGTTGAATCAACCCAAGCATGCGTCAGTCAACCTGAGCATGCGTTAGTTTAATTATTAGCTGGTTAAGAATAAGTAGGCGAAAATATGAAAAATATAACGTATAAAACGTAATATTTAAAAGTATGTTTTCCTGCTTAAATTGTCTGCCTTTGGAACGTCAATTTTCTATTTTTTCGGCGACGTGTATATCAATTTTTTTACTTTACTTTTGCTAATACTCAGATTAATAGCCATGTTCAAAGGTTTTAGAATCCAGCGGCGTGCACAGGATTATGACACTAGGTATGCGGCGAAGTAGTCGGTCACTTTTTCTTTTATAGATTTTTAGCACAAGTCTTAGATGTACTACTATTCATGTACATCTTCAACGGGAACGCAGACAAAATAGTGGTAGATCGTCGCGGCGGCAGAAATTCTAATAAGTAAAAAAATATTATAACTACTCACCATGCATTATGCTTCTTTGCTGCTGAATAGAAATTATTTAAATCTGAATATCCCGAATCAGTCCACACTGTACTAGAATTACTAAACAATATGCAAGGAAAACAATATAATTTAATCGTGTGTACACAACCACACAGCCAGTTATACGTTTCATAACTTTTAACATGAAACTTGCGAGTTACATTTCCTTTTTGCTGGTTTAATTGCTGTAACTCGGGTACACACTTACCTTTAGACACAATTTTAATCTTTTCACTGAATGGCAATAGTGAGAACTTGTTATTTTTAATAGACATACATTATCCACACATAACTCACAATCAAATCACATTTTTAAAAAATCAACGGAACTCAGTAATAAACTGTTAAATGTACACACTTTCAAATAAAACCATAACTATACTGGCGGAAAGAAAATAGTAAACAATGCTTATCACATGAAAAAATCAAAATGGCCCCCGCGAACAAGAAACATATCTGCTAATTAAACAAATAAAACCTTACCATATTCAAAATTCATAATCCGCATACATGATTTATTATATTTCTGACTATTGTAATTAGGTGGATTTATAGGCAACGAACACTTCCGATTACTCCCGAGTACTCACGACAACGATTAGCGCGGGACCCGAACGGCCAACTGCAGTATCCTGCGGCTGTAGTCGGGGATATAAAATAAATGGGTGTGTGCGTTTGCGAACTGTGCACGGACACCAAAATTACTACACACATGCAAACAAATGTCCTACGCGAGGCGACGTCATGAGTTGCTTTGCGCTTGCTTTTCGGTAAACACCTGGCAAACAATGTTTGTGTGGTGCTATTTTTAAATAGTAGGCGTTTTTAAGTTATTATATTTTGTTTTTTCATTTATTTACTATTAATTAAAGTCATCTAAAACGTACCAATGTTTTATTAAAATGTCTGTGAATAGCAAGTAAAGCACTGCATTTCTGCCTACAAGGAGCTCACGCCCCTGTTAGAATCTAATGCGCGATGATCATCAAATGAAATCTGTCTACACAGACAAAAGTAATCTTTAGTAAAGGGCTTTTCACACCAGGACCTAAGCTTTTAATCTTTACCATTAACCTAACGACTATCTAACAAAGCTCTGCAGGTACATCTCCTGAACAATATTTCCCTAAGGATGTAGCGAGTAGAAAAAAATGGCCTTTCAACTCTTCAACTCTTTTATTTTTTCTCAAATTCATCATTATTTTCATCAGTAGAAATAGCGGGGCATGTTCTCTACACATTCCACCTCTCATGAGGTCCTTAATACTTTCTTTTTATGTTTCGTTGTCGTTGGTTCACATTAAGATGATTAAAAAGAAAAATGCTATTATTATAATGATTTTTATTGTCAATATTACATGTAATTTTATGTATTTTTAAGATTGTATTTACACTTTTTATATGATATGAATAAGTTTTTAGCATTTATAATTAATTCATATTTTTTATGAATTACGTGCTCATTTTAGCATGAATTTACACGGATTACGAATTCTGGATTTTAAAACGTCTCACTCTAAAACGGTAGGAGATGGTGCATTAAGAAAAGAACCAAATGTTCTTGTGTGTGAAAATGAAGAAAACCAAAAGATCGACAATAAGGAAACGTCTGATCTTCGAGAAGCAGATGACCAGAATGTCAGTCATAAAACACATAAAACTGCATCAAGAAAATATAGTTTTCTGCAACGTCGAACCAGCAGTGAAATTTTCAAGAACCCATTACAAAGTAAGATAATAGTATTAGCAGCTTGTCTATAGGATAAGTTATGAGTCTATTATTATAAGTTTTATTTGTGCACAACAATTCTGAGTTTTGAGCTAGCTCAACCCCTGGTGTGATTCTAATAGGTATTATTGATTAAAAGTTAAACCCCCTTTTCTGAAGTCCTTCTTCTTATAATATTCAATTACTTTTTTAATGTTGACCGTTTCATTTTTGATTCGCCTGCAACCTTCAAATTATTTAAAAGTTTTGAAATTTAACTAAATTTGTATAGCCGTTCTCGATTCACGCACTTAACTACGATCATCATTACACTTTAGCGTTTGTATAGGATGTGTAACATATGTATGTACACATGTACGTCAATAGATGTGCGGAGTCTGGAATGTCTTGGATCAGAAAAACAAGAGGATTAAAAACTTTAATATCTAGAAATTATATATTACGTTACTTGTACTTTATTACAAATAGCCTTTATTACTGATAAATAAATACGTTTCCTTACAATTCATTAATTTCATTCAATTATACATTATAATTATACAATACAATAGTAATTTCATGCATTTTGGAATTAAAATTTATATTTAAATATAAATTTTAATTCCCTTGAGAGTGTAAAACAATGTTATTTGCCAAATTTCACAGTTCAACGGACTTAGAACTGTTAAATTTGGCAAATACCATCGTTTTACACTACAAGTACAGTGAAAAATCTGAAAACTATACAATGTAATTAAAACATAATTTGTTTTGTCTTTATTTAAAGTACGTTATCAATAATCGAGGTAAAATTTCACTTAGAAAACACAACAATAGTAGTAATTATAGGTTTAAGAAACCGAATTTCGGGAAAAGCTCGGTAAAAACTGCGAGAGTCGATTCCTGAACTATTTATATTATATACCTACAAATTTGTACGGAACCCTCGGTGGGCGAGACTAGTAGATTTTTTAAATTTTACTCATATTGATCATCATACTTCCCGTTACATAGGTTTGAATTATTGACCCAAGCTATGTGCCTGGGTCAATAATTCCTACATAATTTTCTTATATTGTATAAATGATGGAACTTTAAGAATCCATATTTATGGTTTAGGTGTCAGGTTAGGTTAGATGTACTTAGGGCATACTAAAAGTTTCTAAATTCGAATAAATAAGACTAGATATAAGACTCACGATACATTTTTTTTTTTCAAAGTATATTCCCTCGGAATTAATGCATTTTTGCATTCGCTGAAACCACTGTACAAAGCAGTTGGACCAGTCTTCTTTAGGGACCTCTTCAATGGCTTCATGGAACACATTTCTGTCTTTCTGTCTATCTCATTACTCTTCTGCCTATTTACTCTTAAACCTCTGAACCGATTTAGATTAAATTTTGTATAGAGATACTTTGGTTCTTGAGGAAAAGCTGGCTACGGCCACCGACATTTATACAGGCGGAGCCGCGGGCAAACAGCTACTATTTTGTAGTAGACTAGCGTATCTCTGTTCGTCTGTAACCGCTGTTTTTGGAACATATTTAAAATTCTGAGATTCAAACGCAGATTTGCAACGTAAATGAATATTTTTCTTTTGGTATTTTTCAGCAAAAGTGAAAGACCAATCTCCTAAGAACAATAGCTGTGAAGATCTAAAAGTGAAATTTAAAAACGATAAAGTTAATCAGCACAGCCGATTTAATTTTTTTAACAAAGACTCTATTTTGAACTTACATTTAAAAGGAGGTGATATAAGAAGGAATAAAAAGAGAAACAAACAAGAATACGACACTACGGTTTTATTCGATAGTGTGTCACGAAATAAAACAAGTACCAAAAAGCCAGTGAAGAATGAGGGCATGAAGCAGAGGAAAAAAAATAAGTTACTTGATGACACTTTTGGTTTTCTAAAAAACAAACGCTCTATCACATCTTGCTATCGTCAAAACAATAAATTTATGAATTTAGACCAGTGCCTAGTTGGTTTAAAACAATTTAAAAAAAGAAAAGTAAACAACACCCGAGTACCGTCGGTGTTTGGTGGCCGATCACGCCATAAGAACAAAGTTACCAAACAGTGTACTTGTGTACATAATCCATTAAAAATTCTAAGTTACGAATCTTCTGGCTATTCTAATATAGTTACACCGAATGTACATATTTCTGACGGTAATTTGGGGGGCAAAGGGGCTCAGGAATTTAAAACTGGACCTGGATATAAAGCTCCAGATAATAAAACCCCTTCTAGAAATCAAAAATTTCCCAAAGTCAAATCTGCCTTCAGGAATAAAGCAGCTAAAAAAAAAGGATCTGCTGCAGAATGTAAATGCCCTCCAAGCAATTACTGGGAAAAACAATTGGAATCGAAAATTCAAATGAAGAAAGATGCATTTGTTTCCGTATCATCTGCATCCTTAGAACCTAAAATATATTGTGGCTGTGATGCAGCTGTTGCCACCGATAAAAGCAAGTTAACTACTCGCAAGCGAAGCAAGACAGACTATAAGTGTTGCCAAATGAAAAGAAACACTCCACGGGTAGTGGCAGACAGTTGTGAACCAGACGAAAACCCTCAATCGCATAACTTTAACACAATTAAAAAAGGAAGACTTGAAGAACTTGTGAAAGAAGAACGTAATACATTTTTCACAGATTTTATAAACGATATGGTAGACTTTCGCGTTGGTCAAACGAAACATAGATTTCCAGTACAGTGCATGAAATATATATGTCTCGGCTTACTTGTTATTGTGTGGTCTCCATGCCTCTTGGCATTATTTCTGGGACGAGTAATAATGTGTCCTCAGAGAATATCATGTTCACTAGGGGGGCCACAATTAATGAAACAAATGCAAACGAATTCAAATTGTACATGGAACGGTAAAAATAAAAGATCACTAAATGAAATTCATCGGAAAGAAATCCCTATGAATACTCCGGTTAACTACGTTAAATGTTTGCCAGCTGCATGTATAAAAGCAAATCTACCTACTCATAGTGCAGCAAAAATATTTAAAAAATTTCAAGACAAATCTCTTCCAACTGAATGCCAGCAAAAAAAAATGCATGCACATTCATTGTCAAAAGCTAAAAGAAAATGTTTAGTCACTAGAGATGAGCGTCCCCAAGAGTCATCAAATATTTTAATGAATTACCTTAGAAATAGGTTTCCTACATCTGAATGTCCACGATCCCAGAAATCAAACCAAAGGCAGAAGAAGTTTATGTCCTCAGTTGCAAGTTGGTGTACACGTACAGTCGCCTCTTTTAGTAATGTAGTATCGGTAGTAAAACTGATTGGATTCAGACTACCAACTGGTACCCGCACTTCATTTATACCCTCATTAAATACAACTCAAAGGAACAGATGTAGTCTATATTATGGCAATGGTAGAGGATGGATAGTGAAGCCGCAAGTCATCCAAAATATGCGATGTGAATATTCATCAGATCTACGTTTGTCTTCTTCATCAAAAGACTGTATTTTAAAACCAAAATCTAAAATATCATTTTCGGAGCAACCAGACTGTCCAAGTGACTGTGTCTATAATCGTACTCGTACTTCTAAAGTAGACCCGGATTCACATTTTTCGACTGTCCTGTTTGGGAATTATAAAACTACAAATCAACAGGTAAATATTAAATCAAAACAACTTACTACAAGGATTGAACATCCTTCTACTCGTAAAGAAGGTGAATTGTGTAATTTCAAGCATCAACAAACTCCATCTAAAAGAAACATGTTTAATCCGCACAACGAGCCCAATTGTGTAGTCGTTCCTTTACATGGACTAGTAATTGGTTACCCTGGAGGTTCAGGATATTACTATCCAAAAGAACAAACAAGTGAACAAAATAACAAAAATAAATTATTATCAATCGTTAAAAAGAAAGAAACGTATCATAAGAAACCAGGATATACGGTTGATAAAATAGCATATAATATCTCTCAAAAAAGTCCTATTCAGTCATCTGATAAAATTTTGCATAGTAAGTCAAGGCAAGTCAAAAGAGCAAGCACAAATAATTCTTCATGTCAACGATGCTTGACATCATCTAAAATTAGGGCTAATAAGCAATGGGTTCATAAATGTAACTATTGTTTAAGGAATAGGCAAGTAAATAATCAAGCAAAAAGTACTAAGGCCTTTGATGGGGCTTTTCAGTCTAGTCATACGAAACACTTAGTGAATGCAATGAAAGAAAAAAATAGACATCCTACTCGTGCTAACTTCAGTAAATCGGACAACACAAACAAATTACGCGAAAATATGGTGTCAGATAAAACCGGTTGTAATAGAAGTAGTGTAACGCAACTTAAAGCTTTACAAAGTGCGTTTTGCAAATCTAAAAAAACTCCTAAGCCCATTGTATCTTTCGTAGAAACAGCCACCCGTATTGAAAAGGATACCAAAATATACCAATCAGCATCCAAAAGCGATTTCATTAACAACCGAACATCCAAGTTAAGTTCAAAAGAATCTTCGAAATTTCATGTCTCACCTAAAATTAACACAAAAAATAAATATTTGCAGTTTGAGAGACCATTTGAAAAAGGGTCAAATTCTTGTAAGTCCATTAAGAAATATAGGGAGTTACCATTGAATAAAGTTAGTGAACAATCTCAGAACATACGAGATCAAAAACAGTCTCCATCATTCGGTACAGCAAAACAAAAGATGATAACTCAATCATTCGGCAGAGCATCTAATATAGGGCAAAATAACAGGATCCCAATACATAACGAAAAATCTCTTCAGCCTAGGGGTATAAACACAAATCTGTTACTGGACAAATATGTAGAACACACTTCTGGCACACTATTAAAACAATCACAAAACGTTCTTTGTCCTAGTAACCAAAAAGACACTTGCACTGCATACTGTGCCAGAGACTCCATAAAAGGAACTGTATCCTCTATGTCATTATTCGACCCGTCACAAAAAAGGCGAAACCCGGTACTAACTGCTGATTTTCCATACGACAAACCATGCTCTAATGTTCGATCATTAAATTCATTTCAATATCAACAATTTTCGGAGGGGTTAAAGAAATGTATAGTAATGTCAAAGTCACGTAGACACAATCAATCAAATTCAACTCACTACCGTACCAACAAGGCACCAAGGTACCGGTGTAATTCGTTATACCCCGGGTATGGAAAACAATCGACAAACTTAACAGAATTCGATTCTTTTCGAAAATTGGCTGGTCCCCAAAATTCAAAAACATATCTGAGACAGAAAAAGCAAATACAGGCTTATAATACGCCTCAATATTTTAAGTCTTCTTATAGAAAGGAATTTCCACTAAAATCACGACCACTTATGTCTTTAAAAAATTCATTATCATCTATAACGGATGCTTCTTCATATAGTCAACTATCTCTTCCATCACAAAAATTATCACATTATTTAAATGATAATTTAACATTTTCATCAAGATATTCCTCTTCTTTGTGTCGAAAATCCATTGTTATGGGAAAATACGATTACTCCTGTACGCGTACCGCTGGATCTTTTCAATCAATTTTGTGTAAATTTAAAAGTTACGATGAATACGAATATAAAGACAAACAAAAGCTTTCGCTACGCATTCCGTATGAACCTATATTTAAACAAAAGCTACAACTATATCTAAATCTAAAAAATAATACAATTGAAAAATCACGCCGTTCGCCATGTGCTTCCTCATCCAAAAAACTACAAGTTAGAAAAAAACCTAAACTTATAGCACACAAATGTGAGAATAATTCAGTGATAACTAAAAATCAATTAAAAACATCATTAAAAAAGCGGCTTAGGTACTTAGACAAATTTCTTGGAAATGATTCTGCTCCATTTAAGTGCTTTAATAACAATAATGATGCTCAAACCCGCAAAACTGATAACCGATATTATAGATCTGAAGAAATGAAGCCTAAATGTCTACTTTATTCGGCAAATCATAATAAGTGTATTGCTTGCAAAACCTCTTATTTGATTGGCAAAATTCAGTTACTAAGGCAGTTATTGGGTGAAGTTGGATTACAAGAAAAATCTCATAAAACAAGATCAAAAGGAATTAGATCTCCAAAATATCTTCCTTCCCCAGATCAGCCTCAAATGAAGAAAGCCCAGACGAAACTATTAGGTAATTCACCTTTGTGTATACAGGAAAAGCTAGATTTACAGCCAACCTACTATCAAAAAAACCATAGACCACTTGAATGTGCATGTGACTGGTTTTACAAGACATTAGACTATCCAGTCATGGCAACTCAAAGGCAGCAATGCACACCAAAGTGTTTTCAGAACTTACTAGACTATCTGCATATACATCGGCAAGGTAAAGGCTTTTCATCGACAAGGTCCAAGCGAATACGTACTCAAACTATGTCGAACTGTCCAGTCATATGTTCTTGGGTTAAATGTAAAAAAAAACAGTGCAAACAAACAAAAAGACAGCTTTCCCCCCAAGATAACTTAATGCCGAATAGCGATAGGAAAGGAAAGAAAACAAATTTGAGTAAGGGGGGCATTAAATTAAATTGTTCAAATTGTAAAAAGAAGAAAATATGTTCACCAAAAAAGGAAAAGAAAGCTAGGTTTTTGATAAATAATAAGGAGAAGACACCCCAAAGAACAGACCAAAAGAACGCGAAAAAAAGAAAAGACAAGAGAAGACAAGAGAGAACCAACTGTCCATTATGTATGCATAAGAGATGTTCGCCGAAAAAAAAAAGAAAGAAAAACATGTCGAAATGTAAGTGTAGTACAAAAAAGATAGCAAAGAAAGACAAAATGAAAATAAAAGGCTCTCCACAAGCTAAAGCAAAGAGGTCTAGATCCCCAAAAGACAAAGATAAAAAGAAAAATATGTCTAAAAGTAAAAAACGAAATACAAAAATAATATCAAAGAAAAGAATAAGAACTTTTCCAATATGCTTAGTGGATTTGGTGCAGACGATGCGACAAGCAGAAGCAAAAGCCTGGCACTTAGACGTCGATTGTGAATGTTTGTACATACAGACTTTGAAGAAAAAACCTTGTTTATGGATATACAAGCTTCGGCCGTCTATTTATCCTCGTTTCTTGCGTTTGCTTCGTTTGACAAAGCGCATCGGTACTTTTCTTATACTCTGTCTCTGTTCTCCTTTACTATCGTGCTCTTATTGTTGCTTTGAGATAATAACATCTTGCATTGAGGCAATAATTTGTTGCGGGTGTTGATAACAGCTGGTTCTCATGAAAATCCATTTTTAAAAATTCGAAAAAATCTGTAGCCGCGATCAGTTATCTGAAAATAAATTTTTATAACTCGGCACGGATAGTAAAATAAGAATTTAAGTAAAAGAAATCATATTATATTATGATAGTAGGAATACTATAAGAATTGGATACTTGAAGATGAGACGGGTGATTATGTTATTACACATAATTATGTTTGCGAGTACGAGTGTAAAAAGAAATAGAACTTTAAGTAACTATAGAAAGTACGTACTTATCTACTTAATACAAAATATCACAGATGATATAATGACAAATTTTTAATATCATCATCATTATCATTATGCTAAACTTCGATGATTTAAGAATTTGTTAAGTAAGCTAGAACTTGTTCCTCTGTATTTTAAATTCTTAACACTAAATTTTGAGATGAATTTAAATCATTAAATTTAAAAGAACAAAAATGCTTAGAAAATGTTACTTAATTTGATGGTGTTGTGTAACTAATATGACACAACTTGGTAATTCTTGTCGTTATTGCCATTAAACAATTCAATAGTTTTGATAGTTAGGCATATGATGTACCTAGTTATGTAGAAATCCCTAAAGATATTGATAGTATTGACTTGCTGTCATTCGGACAACTACCCCTACGATCCTATTTACCACTACGTTTTCCCTAAATTCTATTCAAGCATTGGAAAAACTTGGAAACTTATGCAATTATTTTTCGTTTAAATCGTTTACTGACTATTATTAACTATTATTCCAGACGTTCTCATGCCATATCTTTGTGTAGGATATGTGACTGATCCCCGTATCTTGTCATAAAGTTATGTGAATGAGTAACCGTAATAAGAACAAAGCGCATCACACATCAAAAGAAATTAAAGATTTTGAATACAACCCAAAAACGGAGATACATAAGAAAGTGTATAAAATGATTTAAGATTTGTTGTTACCTAACACAAATAAAACGTAATTGCTTTTGTATTATTATGCAATTACTATGTATGTAAGTCAAATATTAGTAAATAAAAGAACATAATCTATAACTATATCATTTAATACAAGACTATATTTAATACATAACCTTTAGTACTTAGTTGTTACATCATAGATATATGATCTTAATTATCTACTATTTGTACTTCAAAGTGAGACGCTGAGATGTCGGACGATTCAAGTTTAACATTTCATCCGCCATTACAACTCAATACGTTCACTATGATTTGAAATGAGAATACAAAAGTATTAGCATTTAAATCATCTTCTCTGTTCTAAATCAAAGCTGATTATAATTAATGTTGTAGTTGATTTGTTCATATTTTGTATAAGATTTTAAGGTGAGGTGGTAATTTTAATAAGTTTAATAACTGTCACTATTTCTCTTTCAATGCCTATTTTCGCTTTTAATTTTTTTTTCTGTTCTTAGCTGTGTTATTAACTATATTCCCATTTACTTCACTCTTTTTTTCGGTTCAAAGACGCTTAAAGTATGTTTCTCTGCATAAACAATTAATTGATGACTGCTTGGAATACAATGTTTGATGTGTTAAACAGGGCTCTCAGCGGTTTTGTTAGGTACTTACCTGAAATGAAAGGAATGCCATTGAAAGTCCTTTATTTTAACTATAACCTATTAGAAAAAACCACATACTGGATTGTTACAGTTGCCGGCGTGTTCTACATCACACTTTCAAGCGAAAATATTAAGCGAAAACCCAGACAAGCGCCGCTCATCACCCTCTTTTTCTAAGCTATTATATCACGATCCTATTTCTTTACCTGACTGTGGTGATATAACGCCTAAGAACGTATGCAATAGCAGTAATTTGATGCTTTCAGCGCAGAATACCAGTAAAATATCAAAAACTCCAACACCCTGTGGTTCGCAATGTATAAAAGGGCCTGTAAAATGTAAATGTCCCAAAAAGAAAAAACCGAAATGTAGTAAAACGTGTATTAAACGGCAAAAAAGAATAAAGCGCTTAAGAAAGAAATCGTGTAAAAAGCTGCGTAAACAAAAGAAGAAAGAATACAAAAAAAAAATGAAAGCACAACGAAAGAAAGAAAAAAGATGCATTGCACGGAGGAAAAAATGTTTAAAGGCAAAGAAAAGAAAGAGAAAGCTACTTTTAAAGAAGAAGAGAAAAGAAGAAAAAATGAGACGAAAAAAAGCAAAATTAATGGCGAAAAGAAAACTAACTTGCGCAAAGAAACGAAAATTGGCGAAGAAAGAAAGAAAGAAAAGTATGAAAGAACATAAAGGTAATATAATAAGATGCTGTAAAGAGATGGCGAACATGGAAAACAGAGCATTCCCATTGGATGTGCAGTGTGGTCGTCTTTATATCCATACTCTGAAAAAAGTGCCTTATATTTGGATATATAAACGTTACCCTTCCTTATACCCGTCATTTTTAAAGTTTTATCGATGTGAGACGAACCTGGTAAGATGTTGCACTTTTTGTCTTTCAGCAATTATTTGTTGCCCAATAGTGTATTGCTCTTCCTATTGTTGTGAATCCTGTTTATGTGCTTGTTAAATGGTTTTAATAAATGTATTTTTATGATTTAACAATGACATTAAATTTACCGTGTAATAGAAAATACAAAAGATATATATATATATTAATTGATGAATAAAACTGAAATAATATATCCTAGCTTGACTAAGCGTCTAAAGATACCTAACGAATTTATTGTCCGTTATAAGTTTTTTTTCAGCCTACGAACAAAATCAACGAACACCAGACCTATACCATTTTTACAGAGCTAAAATTTCGAATTGATTTTCTGTCCACATTAAAAGAGCAGCATTGTACAGGTAACGATTACTAAAGTTACAAAATAACTTATAAGTAGCCAGATTACCAGAGAACCAGCATTTCAATTAGGTTCATAATTAAATGTAATAATGCAGCTAAGAATAACAAGACACAAAGTGTTTTTAACAAAATTGCAAGTTAACATACAAATGCAAGACAATACAAACACACAAAGGTGGAGCACCCTGCACTGAGGAAATGCACGAAGGCAAAGACAAAACGAATAATCAAAATTAGTAAAAATATTACAAAAAACAGAAACTAAATACAATAAGAAACATAAATTAGTGAGAAACATAAATTAGTGAGATGGTTTCGGCTGTTGGAGTTTAAACAATTTGTTAATGTCTGGTTTCAATTACCATCAGTCGCAAATCGTCACGCTCAGTGATCTGCAGTCTATTCCTTTTGTTAGACAGTAAATAAGCCACTGCACTAAACCCACGCTCAGCTAAATATGATGAAGGAAACGCAATTATAAATTTCTATACTATTTCCTACAATCCATTTTAGAGTGCTGATATTGATTTTTTCTGCTGAAACTCTTGGTATCCATTTATGAATTTTACTTTTAATTGTTCATTAGTTGTGAGTTCTATGAGTTCTTCTTCTAAAGGACATCATTCAAAATGTACTCAAAAATTAAAGTAAAAAAATAACCATAAAATAAAAAGCCAATAAAAAAAACTGTGTCATCTTACGGCAAATGATCTTTTAAACATTTTTTATTAGTTATTACAACAAACGTCTACGACCAACTTTTAGACCCAAAATGGATCTCCGAAAATCATAAAATGAACATTTACATTTATGTATCAATTAACTATTTCTGAATAATTAAAAACCTAAACAACGCAAGAGCATCGAAATGAGTCCTGCGGAATTATAACATATGAATAAAGCCACGCAGGTAACGAAATTAAGTCTTTTTCTTTACATATATTTTATAACACTAATACCTACACATACCTAAATACCTACGTAGGTACTCAGATACCTAATGATGATTGTATATTATTAGGTTTTTTTTGTATATATTTTTTTATTATTATTTTGCTTATATTATTATTAAGCGAGATTAAGTTATTCTTTATCATCATTATTTGATTTTTGCTATTGTAAGGAAGTAAAAATTGTTCAGACGAACTCGTATAAATGCATTTTTTTGTTATTTCTAAGTCATATAACTCATAAGTAATCGGTCTTAGCTCTTAGCCGTCTAAAGAAAAAAAACTTAGAATGTCATGCTCTAACCGATAAAACATTTTTTTCGTTGGCCGGCACTTTTTTTATGGTAGGTACTTTTTGTAGGGAGCGTGAATGATTTTGCTGTATCTTCATTGGCGAATTGCTCTGTAAAATCAAGATGAAGAACGTCCAGGTATTGGGAGTAAGTAAGTAAATCTTTTACCGAAAATGTTGATAATGTCGGCAAGTGGCTGTATTCACTTCTTCCTAGCTTTAGTGTGAATAAAAAGAAGTTTTCCCACAAAAACAGCGAAGATATTTTTGGTTTTATTAAATTCAACATCACTTTAGTTAAAAAAGTGATGTCATTTTTGTACGCAACCAAGTTTGCAGTTCATCGTCTCAAGTTTTTTAAGGTAGTCCCGTACTGAGTCAATAAGATTGAAAAAGCGATTCAGACAAACACATTCAAGAGCCATCGTACTTCTGTGTGCACCAGTATAAATTAGGTTTTGGCCTACTATACCAAGCTGGCCGGACGGGTTGGTATAGAGTTAATTAATAATAATATAATAAATGGCATTAGGTCTACTCACACAATCTTATAAAAAAGTCATATACCTACTTATATGTATCAACAGGATTGTTAACAGATCATTTATTATGGAATGGTTTTTACCCGCGGCGCCGCCCGCGTTTATATCTGTTTACATCATCATCACATCAACATAGGACTGCTGCTCTACATAGGCACCTTCTTGGAAAGGAGGTTTTGGCCTACTACTGACTGGCAAAATTGGTTTTGGTGTATGTCGGTTATCGCGGTAAAAAGTAGACTATGTTACTCGCTTTTAATGTAGCTTTCCATTGGTAAAATATTTTTTTAAATTGATTTAGTGGTTTAAGCGTGAAAGGGTAATAAACAAACACTCACTTTCACTTTAATAATATAGTTATAGAAGTATGAATATTATTCGTGTTTAAGTGTAAAAAAAGATATTGCAGAACGTTTACCGAATGTAAATTGTTTATTATAAGCTGTGTTCGTATCGTGTAAGTTGAGGCACCTTATTAACTGACTAAAAAGGAAGAGATTCTAATTCGGTTGCATTAAAGTTCGTGATACTTATCTCTGGACGGGCAATTTTTTTTTTATTTGGGAGTGTATATCTCTCATTTGGTCACATTCTGAAGAGTGGAAAAAATAGTGGAAGATAACCCAATAACCGGTTGCCAGGGGCCCCGGTTCGCTAACTAGCTAAATCTAGGGATCCGGCGCTGTTTGATAATATGAGGATTAAGGTTTGATTAAAATATCTACATAGGTTATGAGGGAAATGTTGCTTTAAATCTTATTTACGTTATGAGGCGCTACGATTATTTATCGCTGTATTGTTTTTAAATTCGACGTTAACAGATAGTATCACACTTTTCATAAAGATTAGAGTTATTTACATACAAATGACTGAAACTGACATATTAATAATTCAATAATAATAAATTTCGTTGTAGCCTATTTATAACTCGTTAGATAGCCTTGATAAATTTAACACTCCGATCGTTTGCATAATATTTATGTTTTAAGTGTGTAATATATTTACCGATATAGATGCTCCAATATATTTATGATGTGTCCTAATATTTTAGACATTTTTTTTGTTTTAAAAGTTCTCTGTACTTTATGCTGACTGTACTATTCAGGTGCCAACAAAGAGTAAGAGTACCGTATTTGTGTGAATACTTAGTTTTAAATTTGAACTGGTAGTGATATCCAAACAATAGAGCCATTTAAAAATAAATTGACATATGACATTTGATGATGACAGTTTAATGAAACTTGACAGTATTTAGACTATTTAGTATTTTGCTGAATGTTGGTTGTTTTGTAAACTAAGACTAAATCTTTTTTTTTAACAAAGCGACTTCTAAAACTGTTCTTTATGCGAGAAACTTGAAACTAAGGAATATAGCTTCAATTAATAAAATGCAGGCAGACGAAAAACGAACAAAATCAACAATTGACCTGGCTTCACTCGAACCCAACGCTAGAGTAAAACAATTGGCAACTTATGGGGCTATGGTGGATGTAGATGCGAATGTTCCACCTAGAAGGTAACTATAAACGTAATTATACATTTCATTAGTTGCAGTTAAAAATATGTTGTAGCCATTGATACTGATGACTCATAGGCTCACAGGTTTTCTTCTACCATTCATCTACATAAACAATATAGCCATGAGACGTGTCAGTCATCAGTCACAACCGTGAGGTACATAGGGTGTATTACACCCTACTTACTTTATTTTGTATCTACACCCAAATACCAATCTTAATGTTAGTCTATGCAGTAGTAAATCTATTGAGTCATGTCAATAATATTAGACAGTCCTGATTATCTACTGTGGAAAATCAACTATATTTAAAGCATAAATTTACTAGGACAAAAAAATATTTCAGATACTACAGGTCAGGCCTAGAAATGGTTAGAATGGCAAATGTATACCTGGCAGAAGGAAGTCTAGAGAACGCATATATATTGTACATGAAGTTTATGACATTATTCTTGGAGAAGATCCGCAAGCATCCTGAGTATGCTTCAGTCCCGGCACAAGTCAAAGCAGTTAATCAAGCAAAGTTAAAAGAAGTTATGCCAAAAGCTGAGAAACTGAAACAAAAGTTGTTGGACCAGTATGCTAAGGAACACATTGTTTATAAAGAGCATGAGGTACCTAATTGTTAAAATTAACATTACTGTGTACAAGTAAGAAAAATTGTATTCTATTTACAACAGGGAACGACTTTGTTGTACACACAATGACAACTTGTTGACCTCTAGAAGTATAGTTATGTTATGCATACTTTGAAAGTACTGTATGCTTATCATTTTAAGCTTAATGATGTCATATAAAAAATGTTTTGTAAAAGTATTTTGCCCTATCCAAAAAGGCCTCCTAAATTAATCCTTATATTTTAACAATTTTTTTTTTGCAACTGTTGCCAAAATTGTAACAAAAAAATGATAAAAATATAATTTTCAGATGAGGTCTAATCAAGACACACAAAAAAATCAAATCACAATAAAATCTATCCTTGAAACCAAATTAACTATTGCCTCAAAAGTTGGTTTGGTCAGATAGAGCAATAAATTTTACAAACAAACAGTTTCTTAAACAAGAATATGTTACTACTACAACATTTACATATCGTGACAAACAATGCCATTGACAATATCTGCAATAAAACCTGAACCAAATACCTGTATCTCAAATTTCATTGCCTTGTTCTTAGGAAAAGAGACAGAAAGCAGAAGAGGAAAGAAGAAAGCAAGAAAGGGATGACGCAAAATTAGCTCAACTTCTGCAGGCTGATGAGAACAAGGGTAAAGATGGTGCTACTGGACCACACCTATTACATACTGTATGTATTCTGAATTATAGTGTTTTTAATTTTCAGATTCTAAGTTATATAAAGTTTAGTTCTCCATATCTTTAGATTGTTATGATCTTATAGATATCTTTATCAATTACCAACTAAAGCCCTCTTATCACCGATGTCCTTATCCATCCAATGGTTGCCTGGAAGAGATCGCAAATTGCGATAAGATCGCCAATTGTACATACAGTACTTACTTATACTTCCATTGATTTCTAAATGAAAAATTATAAAATTTTTGAATATCAGATCACACCAAGTTAATAAACAGTGAATGTTTTTCAGGATCAATGGGCAGTGACACCATCTGCTCCGGCGGTTGATGGTGTGCTTTATCCGGATGATTTTGCAGCTGAAACTCCCCGGGCGCCCGCGCATTTCTACGAACCAGTTCCACCGCTTATCCTGCCATCGAGACCACAACTGTAAGTAAAGCTGTGCAATTTTAAGACCCTTTGAAAATCCGTTGCACCATTTATTAAACTACGAAAAAATTATAGGCATATATAAATTGAGATGCATAGAGTTTTGTCAAAGCCTATATTTACCTTTAACGTTTTTAATCCTCAGATCTAACATGTAAATAAAATATTATGTCACCATTGAATGAATACAGTAAACTAATAGAGTAGAAGTAAAGCATTCTAATAATATTTTCTGTTCACAAGTGCAAACGAGAGTGTGGATTCTTTATATGGTGGTCAGCTGCGCCTGCGCACGGTTTTGGTTCCTTCAGCCCTGTTGACGAAGTTCCTGCGACTTGCGGCCAACAACACCGCGAGGAGTATTGAAACGTGCGGAATTCTTGCCGGCATATTGGTAAGAACTGTCGTAGTATACTATAGATAAAAAGGATTTATGTTTGCCTAGACTGCAGTCAAAAGGTCTTACTAGGTTTTTCAAACCATTTTTATCGAAAACACCAAAGAATAAATCAATTAATTACGAAACAAATAAATATCTGTTGATTATAGGAAAAAAAGTTTCTTAACTCGTCTTCTGAGTTTTGTGTCCTTATTATATTATTTCAATATAGTTGCACTGAAAGTTATAACAAGTTAAGGCAGTTTTTTTTACCTTATTTGCACTAAGTTTTGTTTAGGAAAATTTCATATTTTTACAGGAACGAAATCAGTTGAAAATTACTCATGTAGTGGTACCCAAGCAAACGGGCACATCGGACTCGTGTAGTACAAACAACGAAGAGGAAATATTCCATTACCAAGATCAACATAACCTTATCACACTTGGGTGGATTCACGTAAGATATTTTTCTATATGTATCATTAATTATGTATGTTTAAAGATGTATTCACTTTAATCCTGGTTTTATAACATGTGAGGATCGTAAATCCTTTCTTCCTGATAATAATCGAGGATCATATGCAGTTCATCTAGCACCACGCTGGCGCATTACTCAAATCCCTTCACGAAATCACTTCCACAGATCGCAGGACGGATGTTACAGGTCAATAAAGCATTTATTATTGCTTTTTATACTATATGGACAAGAAATTAAAAAGACTAATATAATACAGTCTAATATTCGGTTTTACAGACTCATCCAACACAGACAGCTTTCTTGTCGTCAGTGGATTTGCACACGCAGTGCTCGTATCAGCTGATGATGCCTGAAGCCATCGCTATTGTCTGCGCACCAAAATACAATGAGTGAGTTATAATTCAATTAAGTACTAGCTTAAGCTCGCGGTTTCGGTCATGTAAACAGTAATTTTCTATCCCTCAAGAACAGTACTTTTACTTTTCTCTCTGTATCCCTGCTAAATTTTCATTTATCAGAGATACGTAAATCAATTTGAATTTTGCATACACATTGTATGTAAAATGTCATGATGATGAGATGAACAGGTCTGCAACATACAACTTAATATATGTATAAAATATATTTATTGTGGTGGTGTGGTATATATGGTATATATATAACCACACGGTATATATTAGGTATACATACTTAATATATACCGTGTGGTGACGAATTAAGAATACGGAATGTCACCACCCTTATTCATTCCGTGGGAGTCGTAAGAGCTGACTAAGGGAGCAAACTACGTAGGACAACAGCACTGCAAAGAGAAGAAAAACATGAAACAAGCCCTATACCAATCTGTATCGCCAATGTGGTATAGTAGGCCAAAACTTCCTTTCTAAAGAGAGGCCTATATCAAGAAGTGAGCAATTAAAGGCTGTTGATGTGATATTTATTTTTATACATTAGATCTTACTGTTAATATTTTAAAGCAGGCTGAGGGTCGACCGATTTATTTACTTATTTTTATAAAGATATCTCCTGCACTATAAATATAATACTGTGTCGCACAAATGTGTAAACACAAATTTGATTAAGCACAGGAACGAATATGTAATCAGTAATCAATATTTTATGAAATTAGTTTCTATAGTAATTAAAAATATATTTTACAATGACTTAAAAACTGTTTTACCCAAATCGTTTTAACAAAAATAGCTTACCTACTATATTTATTACGGGTGTCTCTTTTCTCTTCATTAATTATAGTTAAAAACAATAAAATTATATTAAATTTACGCGTGGCTGTTTCAGAACTGGCTACTTTTCATTAACACCAGATTATGGGATGCAGTTCATCACGAACTGCCGACAGTCTGGCTTCCATCCACATCCTAACGACCCTCCACTGTTCCATGTAAGTTGAGTTTTAGTAATAATGATAATGCACCAAGTTTGTGTTTCGGTAATGTTGAGAATTAAATGTAAAATATGTATTGGAATAAATTAATATTTTCAAGCAGTTTCTGTAGCTTAGATGTTCACTTGTCATGATTAGGTGTGTAAATGATCATGAATTTTAATAATAATAAGTTTTAAGTTTTTACAATTTATTTTAACATTTGCCATTCGCTCTTTAGACAGTACAACGTTTTAAGAGTTAACTGTTAAACTTTTGTATAGGTTATATAATTTACGTGTACAAACATGAGAGGTAACGCGATCACGTAACAGGTAATACATAACCTACTTTAAATTGCCTGAGGTTTCTACCAACTTTCACTGATCGTGGTCATGGGCTGACCTGACCTGTTATGCCTAGTTTACATATGTACCGAGGCTTGGCAAACGTCCACAAGCTCCAAGTCTTTACAAACGCTTGGATGTCATGTACACGCTTGCGAGTGTGCTGTTGTGTTCCGGACAGCCAAACATAGCAGACATGGACATATTTTTATTCCAAATATATACGGCGGCACTAAACTAAACAAATATTATCTAGCCCTACTAAGCAACTAAACTGCTTAATCAGGAGAGCATTGAGACTTAATGTTGATTCCCAACTGCTCAACTAATATCAAATTGAGCAGTGGGGAACAAGCACACGAAAACGTATAAATACGTCGCAAACGTCGTTCTTTTGATCTGTGTTCAAAAATCGACACTGGTACCGATCGACGATGGTAGCATACGCGAGCCGAGCCAAATACCCCGTTTACACGCTTTTGTTTGTGGACACTTGTCACAGCTCTCCAGGCGTGTAAAGGGCCTACTACGTGATTGCGTTAATACCCGTGTATGTACACAATTATATATTTAAGATTATAACAATAATTAAAATTTTAAGAATTACTCGAAAGCCGTCATAAAACCTTTCATCCATCGATATTCAAATACATAAATAATGGTCATTACTTTTAATGTAATTTTAAGCAGACGACAAGTAACTGACTGTTAAAAAGTTAATATTCTTTCCCCAGACTTGCCAACACATACGCGTGGACGATGTGGCGCCAGTAGAGGTGGTAGACCTTAGAAACAGATGAACACGCATCGAATGTACTTTATCTTCCACCGCCAAGCTTCATAACGTTCACTGTTAGCATTTATTAGCTGCTTAGCATAGTTTTATAAGATGTATGTGTCATATTGTAGACAAACGAACCACGCGTGCGCATTATTAAGTATCGATACCTCTAGTAGATGTATTTAGGTACATTTTGTCCTACCCCTAGGGACATTTTTAGTACATATGGGTCTCCTTCTTGTTTTAAACAGTGGGGGTAGTTCAAGCTTTGTGATTTAAAATGTAATTTAATAGGGTAATCGTTAATGCCGTAGTGCCGTAGAGAGAGGGGTTAAAAATAACAATAATTTGCTAACCTCCAGAAACTGGTATAAGTAACAGCTGAGACCAAAGGCTCAATATACTCTTCAATATTTGCACAAATACAAAAGCAAAAGCGTTCTTTGTTTGAGTGTATGTACGCCATAATCTCTAGAACTACCAGTTGAATTCGATAAATTAGTTTTAGTTTCTAGAATATTGATTAAGGAAAGTATGCAACAGACTATGTAACATCGCGCTGCGACCTTTAAGAGCGTATCAGTGGCAATAAAGATGAGTGAACTAAAATGTTTTAAATACAAAATCTAAGTATATGTACATACATATATTTATATTTCTTCTGTAGATGGCGTCTATTAGATATAATTTAATATAAATGATATGAAATATGTTACAATAGGGTGGTTGAATGAATGTTGTAGCCTGCGCGGTAATGCCTTATAGTAAATAGTTTTGATACATTCGTTGTCGGAATGTTGTTTGTACTAAAACTGCACTTAGATAATGTGGTGTGTTACACGAATTTAAAACGTTAGCTCTTCTCAGAGGTTCGTATGAAGTGTACATTTTTGTATAAGTTGTTATTTTCATTGAGAATTTTATTTATTGTGATGAAGAAATCTCGTATGATTCATTATTTGTTAAAACTCGGTTTAAGACTAAGATATAAAAGGAATACACAGATTAAATATATGTTATTTGTTTTGAAAATAGTTCTTATTTATTATTAGTTTAGAATGCTAACTTATTCAGTTATATATTGCAACATTGGGGTAATAAGTGACTTTAGCATGGCAACACAATATGTATAATGAGAAACTCTTGAAACGTGTTACGACTGTAACTCTGCCTCGTATAGGTATAATATCGATCTACATCTATGTCATCCTAGAAATAATGAACTATACTCTGTCATTTGGTTTTTTCTTCTTGACAGCTGCTTGAGAAGGTCAGAGCGTAAGTAAAAGCTTGATAGTTTAGGCAACAGAGCGTGCCAAAGAAATATACTTACTTAACACACGTACACACTCGAAAAACAACCCTTCTTCTGCCACAGTTGGGTAAAAATGGTAATGTTTCTTATCTTAAAAAAATGGGCCAGACCTTTATCAAAAGAATATCGTACTGCACGACTTTTATAAAAAAAACACAAAAATACTAGTAATTAAATAAACGGCTTGCTAATTCACCAATAATTTATGTTAAAAAAGGAATGTCGTTTCTCTTAGGTTAAAGATACACATCATTCGTAAATTTGTGTTATCTGAGCTTATGTTTACTATCTAAGTCAAACTTTGACAAATACCTATATACTAAAGAATAAATTGTTATATAAGTTGAAGACATTCGCACTTAGTTTTGGTCGTAAATGACTTCGCTATGTAGATGCATAGCATATCTATGGAGTATGTGGTTAATTTATCAATATTTGATGTTAATATATTATTATATAATATTGATCTATTTTATTAAGTTATTAGACGACTGAATGATGATTGTTTAAATACGTTACATAATGTAATGTACGTAGCCTTGGGTTGGATTTCCTCACGTCGAACATTAGATGAAAAGTTTATATTTTTTTAAATAATGGTTGAGAAAGCGTTTTCTATTATAGTATTATTGAAGTTGTGTGATTATTGAAGACTGAAGCTTTATATATTATTCTTATCTTCTTATATATTATTTGAAGAGTCTAATTATCAAGCTGAAGTGGCAGTGGGCTGGCCATATTAGCCGCAGAACCGACAACCGTTGGGGAAAACGAGATCTTGAGTGGAGACCGCGTCTCGGCAAACGTAGTGTAGGACGCCCACAGGCCAGGTGGAGTGACGATTTGCGCAAGATGGCTGGCAGGAGCTGGATGCGAGAAGCCCAAAATCGATCTAAGTGGCGTGCAATGGAAGAGGCCTATGTCCAGCAGTGGACTGCGATAGGCTGATGATGATGATGATGATGAATTATTAATATTGAAAAGTAATATTATTTTTTTTGTCAAGGAGACAGTTTGACCGGAGGCCGTTTATTTTGAGTGCCATGTATTGTTACTTGTGATGTGGACAATTATTCTTCATATAAAGTAATTTAAACTATATTTTTTTTATGTTATGGAATAAATTACTAGTATTGCAATTGTGTACATTGCACTGTTTATTTTTTGGTGAGTAATTCCAGACAAACGTTTTGTGTGTGTCAAATAATTGAGTGATTTCGAAAATTGCAGATTAATCGAGAAATACATGTAAGGCAATAGCTCTGATATCGGATTGGGTTAAAAGAGATCTCGAGTGTGCGTTCTATCCCGAATGAAGCAATAATTTCTGTTATTTACAACAGTTGTTCTAGGCTTATAATAACTTGCATTCCAGTTTTCTTCTTTTAGGCCAAGTTAACATTATGCATTTAAAATTGTGAAAATCCATAGTTAAGTAGTTACTGCTATTACTTTACAATCTACAACATATTAACACATTTATAGAAGCTTGTTAATTTGATTGAATGATACATTGTAAATGGAATTAAACTATTTTATGTTTACTGCACCGTTTTATTTACTTTTTACCGTTTTATATATATCAAAATAGGAAATCATCATAAAGATTCAGTAAAAAGGTTTCAATAATTTTGTATTGGTACTATTTGTATGTGGTTACTGTTCTTTTTTAATATATATCAGCCGTTTAACTTGTGTTTGAAGTAAATTTTTACCTAAATCTTATTACTTCCGAGGTCGGTTATTGGTCGGTTATCGGATTGCGTTTTCCTACAAATAATTTACAATTTCAGCACGCTGCATATAACGCGGTCTTTTGTGTGAACACTAAAACTGGATATAATTTGTGGCGATGCCAAAAATGTATGATTTATGTGCAATTAATACGTAGAATGTAAGAGCTGTCTTGTGTGATTCTATAAATTCAACTAACTAAAAACACGGACCAATGTAAATAAAACTAAGTATATGATTAATCATGTCTTTTATTTATTGCACAATATTATACGATTATGATATGTAACAATTGGCGGTTAAGCACAACTAAATATATTATCTATCGGACAGAACTTGCAGACAGGTTCTTGGTTCTTGCAGATAACTCATAAATCTTTGGGGGTTTCTACTTTCTAAACACCAGGAACGTCCATGGGTGGACGGTTACTTCTGCATAAAAGTACTAAGGTATTATCTCCTTAATATATTTAACTTTCCATCTCTTTTTACATGCAAAGGTAAAAATATCTGCCTAGATATTTGCATATAAGTTTGTTATTTAGCAATACTGCTAGGTACGGCGCTAACTGTCGAATTAAAACGGGATGGCATAAGGCCTCGTCGTTGGTTTCTACACCCTTTCAAATGTTTATTAAATCTCAATATTGTTATCTACAAGTTCTAGTGATAGCTTAGGGGAGAGTGGGGTAATTACGAACACTTAAGGGGAAATTGAAATTAAACAAAACCAGATTAAGTTACGAATGTCATTTATTACTTAACATTTACTTTAACTAATGAACCTTAAGTTCTGATAAGCAACATAGATAAACTTTCAATACAGAAACGAATATTCATAAGAAAACAAAACTATGGGGTTCGGGATTACCCCACAACACGGGGGGTAATTACGAACGGTGTGTGGGGTAATCACGGACATAATCTAATCATCACACAAATCACATATAAATCCTTTTGATGAACTTTCACCACTCGTACACTTTTCATGGGCCCATAAATTACATCTGTAGCATTTTATCCAATCTTCATGTTTGATATTGATATTTTTCATCACAAACTAAGCAAAAATACTCATTTTCTTTCGCATCTCTTTCTTTGGTTTTCTTTTTCTTACGCAGTACGTCCTTTTCTTGAACCTTTATCTTAATATCAGTATCTGCAAATGCTTGACGATACTTCACACCTTTCCTTGAATCTTTAGTGGAACTAGCAGCCTTTTCCCTTCCTTTCATGTACTCCTTATTTTTCTTTCTTTCTTCTTTTTCTTCTAAAATATTTTTCATATGACTACTGGTTATTATAGCTGAATGTTTTTTTTTCTGAAAGTTCGTTTATTTTTTAGTTGTGGCATTTTGGGAACATTAACAATATCTTCAAGTGGGATAGAATTGTCTAACACAGCTTCAGAGGTTACTGGTTTCTGCTGCACATAATTTAATGTCGATAGTATATGTGTATCAGGGTTTACTCTTTCTTCGCCATTTGATGTTGATGCTATCTGCACATCAAGTGTCACGCTTTGTCAGCTTGAAAATTGACAATGGAATTTTCAGGTGGTAATGATGCATCTACAAAATATTTATCAAATTTATTTGGATCTATTGGCCAAACTGCTTTTCCTAGTGAAAGTTTTTTGTTCTTAACAACCCGAATGGCTCTTTCTAAGTCTTCTAATTTGTATTTGGTCTCCGTCTTTCTTTGGTAATTTCGTGGCATCTGAAACATATTTGAGTAGGTATAAATAAGCTCATGAGGGTACAGTGCTGAAAGCAGAGAAACATAAAAACAAACTTCCTCAAATGTATTTCATCAAAATTCATCATTATTATCATGCTGCAGACTGCTGGGCATAAATTATAAAATAAAAAACAATAATTTAATTGTTCAGGGGTAATTACGAACGGTCGGGGTTACCCCACTGAAATCGTCCGTAATTACCCAACAGACACGTTATCACAAAACTATTTTTTTTTTTTAGGTTAGAATCGCGTTATACACGCGCAAGTCCTTAGAAACATTCTTGAATTAAGACGTTAATACATAAAAAAAATACCGAATTTATATGTTACACCTAAAATATTATATATCTATTCAATTTTACTCAAAAATTATATGAAATTGTTGAAAAAACAAAAAGTTAACATACCTTTTACACCGAGTGCGTTGTTGCTTCACCACTCTTTGTTCGGCACTACGTTCGGGATCGACTCACGATTGCATTACTCGGAATATCTTCTATCCTTTTATAACATAGCCAAACGAACGTATCCGCGATTACCCCGCGTCCGTGATTCCCCCACTCTCCCCTATTATTACAAAGCATGGATACCACCATACATTCTCCATTTCGCACCTACTTAATAACAAAGATATGTATCTAATGATTATTACATTACACTATCACAATGAGTGTAGTCTTAAAATATAAGTATCTAGTGCAAGTAAACAACATGAAAATACTACAGATACAATTTGGATAATTCATCTATATTTCTCGTCGCTAATATTACAATTAATAATAACGATAAAACATTTTAGCAAGTTATTTACATACTTATATCTATTGATTACAAATATATAGAATACGCTATATTTTAAGCATTTGTACACACTACGGTTTTAATAAGGCACTCGGTGCATGATATCCGTCATTAATAATTTTAAAACTAACAAATATAATAGATAGGTATCTACTAAAAAGTAATTTTATTTCTAAGACATTTACACACACACATTTTTATCGACTACCACTAAAAGTAACACCAATGTTGCCAATTAAAAACAAAGGTTTTGATCACATTTATAAATGTCAACTAAAAGTGATCAGAACCTTAGTTTTTTACAACAAATAATATAAGTATTCGTTAATAAATAATTAAAATTCATTCGTTGTCTAGACAGGCAATACATTGAACTGCTACAGATATAAAAAAACATTATGAAATCTTTTCAGTATGAATTTTAATTATTCATTAACGAATACTTACAAAAAACTTTACAAAGATGTAGTAAAACATAATAATTCATAACGGTTAGAGAACACAAAAAAATTTAAATTCACATCTATACACGAACATTGTATACAACATTGTATATTTAAAAGGCACCATCTCGGATAACTGACATTCGTATTCATAAAGGCACTCTATAAACATTAAATATACATACTAACACACAGTTCTCTAAATACTTTGCCGCCAGGAGAAAGTAGAAAAGTGTGGCTAAGTTTTAACCTTAGATTATTTACATGTCTAAATATTATAATCTAAGGTTTTGACTTATGACAATTTGCCTAAGGAAGAACTGATTCTTCGACACATGTATTGCAACTTTATACTTAATGCATGTTCAGATGCCACTTTCTGTGTCCTATGTGGTGTTTTTACAAAACTATATAGAAAATTTTAAAACAAGTTAAATACTTAGTATATGCTCTCAAAAGAATCGTTATTTAAACTTGTTTGTTTCAATAACTAATGGTGTTCAGTCCAGATGTTTGTCGGTACGGTATTATTTTGATATTTTATAACTTGTAGGCTTGTGCTACCCGGCATTTTGTCTGTAAGCATTAATAAATGTAATCCACCGAGGCAAACTATTATACTTATTGTGAATTGTTCAATTAGAATGTTACTAAGTAATAATGCAACTTGCAAATAAACTAGAAAAGTAGTAACACTTTTCTAGTTTCTTGGCCCGTAATTAATAAATATTTAATTGCTATCTATACTACAAAATTTGTGCTAGTTTATTAACAACAAGTAGATACGTATTTATACAACATCCTTAATAAATAATAATATTTAATTGCTTAATATTAATAGTTTCGTCCAATTTATAACTGACGAATGATATACTAATAATATTTTTTCCTTGACTAATGCATAAACGGACATGAACACGTTTCCACGTTGGACCGACAGGAGCCAGTGCCGGTAAATTGTAGAACTATTTTAGTATTCAAGAAGAGCAAAATAATTAATTTTAAATTCAATTCAAATGTAGATGGTTGCAGTACAAGTTAAGTGTTGAAAATTTGGTGATATTAAATAGGAAATTGAAATACAATGTAAACTAAGAACTTAAGCGCTGAAGTATATTCATGCGAATCAAAAAACATAATATTCCGTTTACAATTAGTGAAGACATCCACATAACAAACACAAAAATACAGTCAATTTTTCAACGTACTTCGTTTTTTTTTTTAATTTGGTTAAATATTACATCGAATATACATATATTATTAAACAGTGATATAATGTAGCTTCCATAGAGTACACATCTTCAAGGGCCATGAATTCAGTAACATCTAGGTGCTTAGTTCATTCATTGTTACATTTTATAGCAATACTTGTATGGCCGCTATAAGTAAAAGAAATGTGTAGGTAATATCTTGAGATACAATCGCTTCGTTAACGGGCTTCTTGACTTTGGAAGGTAGTTCAACGGGTATGGTCTTGTTCATCATCCAGTAGTAGACATCGGTGAGCCCTCGAGCCTTTAACTCTGGACCTACTTCTTTTCTTATTCTGTCGTTATAGCCGTTTAACCATATTATCTACAGAAAATGTAAAGAATATTATAAATCGGAAAGTATTTTACAGTGCAGGTAATCTGTAAAATAAAAGTTACAGCATATCAATCTACCCATATTCTACCGCCGTCGCCGTGTGGGGTAAGAAAACGGCTTAGAACAGATTTATTGATTTATATTAGAAAAAAATTGTTTATGTAATTTTTAAACGTGTAAGAATATACGACACCAATGTTGCCAATTAAAAAAAAAACTAAGGTAAATTTTCTAATCCACTTTTATAAACAAAGTAGACAAAAACACTTTTTTTTTAATTAATTGAAATTGCCTTTTATTCCCAATGGTATGGGGACACACCATCATTAACCTTAACTAGTCCACTGCTGGACATAGGCCTCACTTTAGAAAGGAGGTTTTGGCCAAGGACACTCTTATTTATGACTTAAATTGGTTTAATTAAAATAAATGATGTTGAAATATTGGATATAACCAAGGTTACAAAGCGACATAATGTTGCGATATTTTAATAATCCGAAAACATACTCGTATTTTTCGCTTCGTTATCAAATACGAACGAGAAAAATATTTACTTGTATTAGATTTGTACCTTGTATCCAAGTTTACATCTTATGTGTCCAGCTTTTCATTTATTACATGATAATGAAAATGTGCGCTCATCCTAGGATGAATCGTATTTCTATCGCATATCTGGCTCACATCTAGATGTGTTAAAATTACGATGTAGTTAAGAGTTATTTGAATTTATCTCCTATTAAGATATAAATACACCTATTCTTTGTCTGCGGGGTCCCTTTTTATTCTGTGCGGAAACCCCTCGGATACCAACCGTATCACTGTGGAAGAACAAGGCCTCGGCTTTTTCACAGGTGACCCTACTCGTCATAGAGTTATTCTAACCGCAATGTTCCCTTGTGGTTCCTTAGTCTTAGTGGAGTTGATAAAGGTACAATTATATACATACCTCATATTCGGTTAGCATGCTCCTGTCAATCAGCTTTGATTCGTAAGGTATCAAAGTAGCTTCGCGGAATCCCAAGTAACCGTTAGGCCTTGAAATTATTTCGAAAATATTACCCAGACGTACGCCATACTTTCCTTGCTCATACCAGCCTGGTTCTGTTGAAGGGCACAATATTATCAACAATTTATCCAAATTTGAACATTCACATGTTTATAATTTTATAAAATAAATGTATTTTAATAGATACGACACAAACCATAGACTAAGGGTTATGTTTCAAAGAAAATATCCTAACTGTCCCAAAGAATTTATGAATTTTACATTAATTATTTAACTTATTAATTTAAGTCCAACGATGTACGACACTGCCTACCTACTCAATAGAATATATTAAATACATTAAAATTAATACAACAAGACATAATAACGAGTTCATTCTGATAAAACATAAATAATGACAACGATAATAAATGACGTAATATTAAATTAATGTTCTGTTTCTTTAAATCATCTTTAAGCTTAATTCCATTGATGCCACTTATCTATTCCACCCTCTCTTCAATTCTTTTCAAGGCGACACGCTGACTGTAATGATTAATAGCCATGTGGCTTGGTTGCAATATACTACTTCTTGTTTTACTATTTTTTATTTTCTGTTTCTTAGTTCGGGTTCTGAGTTCGGAACTAATAAACAAATAAAAATTGCAACAGAATTGTGAATTTCTCCTTTTTTCGGAGTCTGTGACATGGATGACACTAATGTTCTGTTAGCTCTTATCTATCTTAGAGAATTGATAATAAGAAGCGTTAACTTACCGACCATGATGAAGTATCCTTCTCTTAATGTGTGCAGGTTAGTGTCTTGTCTGTAGTCTATTACTACTGGATCTGGAACATTCAATAGAATATTATTGTCGTATTTAAAATATGGGAATATAATGTAAACTGCTGAGTTTACATTTTTCACTCTTGCCCAAATTGTAACAAAATAAAAGGTATTAACAATCCTCCTACGTCTTCACGAAATCACGGGATCATTTATGAAACATTGTAGATATTTATTAGTTTTTTTGTTCAGTGTTTTTTTCCTTATAAAGACTACTCATCAATCTCAAATCTCTCTTAGTTGTATATATTCTTAGTGCGGGAGTTGTCAAAACAGTCTGCAGCAGTTGAAGCTCTAATTCGGACTCAAATATGTCTGTTACCTTCCTTCCGTAAGAGAGCAGCACCAACTCCATATCCAGTCGGATGAGGATAGTCTTGTTTAGCAACCCAGAGCGGTGCCCTCACTACCGGATCGGCGTGTGTGGCAGGCAACATCACAGGGGCCCGTAATGTCGCCAGCGCAGCCTGAGAGCGCACCACAGTCGTGTAGGCGCGCCGTTCCTCTTTAGTTGGAGACCCGTAGTGGACCGTGCGCGTTACTATTGTTGTACCCTCTGTCGAATAAAAGTCAGAATTAAAGAGGGCTAACTGGTGGTGAGGAGATAAGCGAGGATTACTTTTTTACCAAGGTTTAATAAACATACTCCTGTTCCATACATTTTGTTTGTTTTGGAATTTGAATAAGATTGACAAACTCACTAAGTATTATTTGTAGCAAAATGGTGAGAAAAAATCGTGAAGCTCAACTAACCATCGAACTGTCCGCCAGATTGTATAACCATTGTAGCGTTTTTGAAGATCCTCTTGTTAGTACCATTGGTAGCGCGGTACCCAGGGTCGGCTGCATTAGGGCCATATGACACGCGGGTCTTCATCGAAGGACCCACGTACCCCGCTTGTGTCTCCCGCGTTATATCCACCGTCAATGCCACGGACATTTCACTCAGGCCTGTTTTACTCTGAGAATTGTTAAGATGATTAACTTTTAATATTGTTAAGATTACACAAAATAAATAGGTCAAAATGTTGATAAACAGAACGGATAAAAGAAATTTAAACTCAGCTAATCGACAAAAAAGTCTATGCAACGCCGTTTTCCTCAAAAAAAAAATGAATTATCCTATCTCCATAACATTAATTCAATACATATTAATTAACCAAGGTACCTCAAGATAGCTTAGTAAAGTACACATAGCGACAGCATCTCGCAGATGTGCTTTCTTCATTCCCTTAATTTCAGCGGCATTCTTCTGAGCTTTCAGGTATATGATGGGGGACAATAGGAATATGCGCTTCGCAGCCGGTACATTCTGTACAATTGCTGCAGAGGCTCCCCGTTGAAAAGTGCCCGCCGCTGGTATCAAGATTTTTGATTCCGAGGCTTGACGCAGCGAGTTATAGATTGTTGTGTACTCATTCGCTCTGTGAAAAATATGATGTAAGTAGGTATAGCAAATATTCCGAATGCACAGATAGAACTGCGTGCCGTAGTTGAATATGAAGATTGCTATAGAAATAAGTTTGAAAAATTAGTGTCAGTGACGTTTTATCAAGGCGGAAGGAGAAGTTGTCATAAAAGACGACAAAAATGACTTTACTTCACTACTTTTATGCTGTACAGTCACGTCTTCAAATGAACCTTAGACCTAGTTAGTGCACCAATCTTAGGTATAAATTAAAAAAGAAAATAGAATAACTACCAAACAACGAAATGTTACAAATTAGTAACATAATATTAATGACCAGTATGAATGGTAATAATAAAAGGCACCGACGTGCATCATCTACAATAATCTTTCAAAAAGTTAGAACACAGAACATAACATATACAAGCATAAAAACATATTAAAAAAACAAGTGTCTTTAAATTTATGTTTCTATTGATGATGCGAGTACATTAATAGAATGTACAATTTAACAGACCGGTATAACAAGTAAGTATATATCTATCAGTTACCTGGTACAATTGCTGCTATAGCAATTGAACACGGCTAAAGAATCCCGCACATGCAGAGACAGCTTTCCTGCCGGCACGAAGATGCGTACTTCACGCATGCTCACGATGACAAACGCCTTCAGCAGTGGCGCGTAAGGCAAATCCCTCCCTCGAATGTTCAACAGCCACGCTACTTCATCAAGAGCTGTCACTACCATTGCGTCGACGTCAGCTTGACGCAACTCGTTACGGAGAAGCATTACTTTGTCGCGCCAACTCTCTCCTGGAAAGTTAAGATGTTCAGTTACATGTTTACTTTGTAGTACAATGGAAAACAGCCCCTATATGTATCGCGAAATATGATGTAGCATGGTGAATCACACCACATACATTACTATAATAATAATAATAACAAGAAAGAAGAGAGTGAAGATAACATCTCATATTACGAACAACTCTATTATATCTCACTCTCAGAATGGATGTAGAGGTGGGGCACGTGGCACTAAAGAGCTCATTATTGACATGACTATTAACCAACAAGTTCGCGTAACCGAAAAGATCTGTCGACATGTTGGATAGATTATAAAAAGGCTTATGACTCTGTACCGCATACGTGGCTCTTGAGGGTGATGGAGTTGTACAAGATTGATACAACTCTATGCACTTTTATGGAGACATGTATGCGGCAATGGAGAACGGTTCTTTGCTATCCAGGATGTCGGCAATCTCAAGGCGATGGCGAATATATAATGATTAAGCGGGGTATATTTCAGGGTGACAGTTTAAGTCCATTGTGGTTTTGCTTAGCTTTAAATCCTCTCAGCACTATGTTGGAGGGTTCAGGGCTAGACTATCGTTTGCAGAGAGATGGTAAGGTTATATCCCATCTCCTTTACATGGATGATTTAAAACTGTTTGCTTCCAGTAATTCCATACTGATAAATTTACTAGAAATAACTAAAACCTTTAGTAAATGTATCAGGATGGAATTTGGTGTAGATAAGTGTGCAGTCATGCATATAAAAAGAGGCAGGGTTGTGGAGTCTGATAGGTTGGAACTTTCAGATTCTTTAGCCGCCTGAAAAAAGTATTAAATAGTCTTTTGTCAGGTGGTAATAAGGTGAGAGCCTATAATGATTGGGTCATACCAGTTCTAACTTACTCTTTTGGCATACTTAGATGGACTCAGACTGAACTAGATACCCTGGATAGAAGAGTTCGTACATTGCTTACTGCATACCGAATGCATCATCTACGTTCATCGGTGATGAGGTTATATATTCCACGAAAATGTGGTGGTCGTGGTTTTCTAAATGCCAAGACCCTCCACAATCGTGAGATATGTAACCTTAGGAATTACTTCCTTTCTGTTAATGTGGATATCCATAGGGATGTAGTAGCAGTTGATAACGGACTCACTCCGCTTGGTCTAGGTAAAGAGAACTGGCGCAAATTTGCAGTACTCAACATTACTGATCGTAAGGAGATATGGAAGGGCAAAGAGCTGCATGTACGTTTTTATCGGGCCTTGGACCGGGCCTGAGGTGGATCAACTAGCGTCTGTATTCTGGCTTCGATTCGGTGACCTCTTCGGGGAAACTGAAGGTTTTGTCTTTGCAATTACTGATGAAGTTGTTATGACGAATAATTATCGGAAGTATATCCTGAAGGACGGCACAATAGACATTTGTCGGGCATGTCATTGTCCTGGTGAAAGCCTTAGACATATAATTTCCGGTTGTTTTCGTCTTGCCAACGGCGAGTACTTGCATAGACTTAACCAAGTGGCCAGGATTGTCCATCAGCAACTTGCTCTTAAGTATAACCTTGTGACTGTAGAGTTATCGTACTACAAATATGTGCCCGACCCAGTTCTTGAAAATGGTCGTGCAACGTTGTACTGGGATCGCCCTATTATCACTGACAGGACTATTGTTGCCAATAAACCTGATATAGTGATAATAGACCGATTGGAGCGCCGAGCAATGATTGTTGACATTACCATTCCACATGACGACAATTTCTTGAAAGCTGAAAAAGATAAACAAGTGAAGTATTTGGATTTAGCCCACGAGATTGTCGACATGTGGGATGTTGATTCGGCAATCGTTGTACCGATAGTCATATCGGCCCATGGATTAGTTGCTAAGAGCCTCGACCAACATCTTCAGAGGCTCGAGTTAGGCAGTTGGATTAAGGGTCTGATGCAGAAAGCAGTTCTTCTCGATACGGCACGTAATGTGAGGAAGTTTCTGTCTCTGGAGTCTTAACCACCGATATCTTGGTCTCTGTAATAATATTTATTTGCAGAAATTATGGTAGTCTCTACTGGTGATCCCAATAAACACCCCCAAAGGACCATTAGGGTAGGCAGTTCCCTTTCAGCTGCCTTGAAAAAACTGTGTACGTGAATATAAAAAATCCGGATATATTTAATAATCTCGTTTTCGTATGACGATGTAAGTAACATCATTTTTGCAATATTCTCAGTTTCCATTCCAGAACAAATATAAAATTACATAGAACATTTACCGGCAAAATCCATGTTGTAGTTCGTGGCGACAGTTTTGGGAAATTCAGGCCTAATTCTCGCTGGGTCTAGCTCCTCGTTCCAAAGCTGGTCCACCAAGGTGGGGTTATTGATGAGCTGTAGGCTTTCACGTTGGAGGGCCGTGGACAGTGTTTGCCATTCTCCTACCGAAGCAAGGCGCGCGTCGGCGCCTACACGGCCGGCGCGACCTAAACTATTCTGCTTAAAAAAAATTGTGGCACTGTAGAATAAACCTCTTTAAAAGTATACCTTGGGTTTTTATATATGGCAATTCTGATTATCTTTAGATGATGTTTTGAAAAAACCTACGCTCGCGGTCCTATACGAGAAGTAAGCGAAAATCATGGGATTTCTAGAAATTTAAGTCCTTTAAAATTTTGGATTTGAATTTTAAATAATAATAGACGCAAGGTCTACGATGTCATGTATAAAAACTAGTAATGTATACAAACCGATATCCACTCGGCTACAGTAGACTGGCTAGGATCGTCCGAGTCTACTACGAGCCACGCACAGGACAGCGTAGCCCTCGCCCGACGTACGTCAGCTGAAGCTACCCAGATTGCTGCACCACCGTTCGCGAGTACCGCGCCCGTGCCTGAACTTTCCCATCCGCTTATGTACTGCAGGCGACGTTCCGGTGGAAGAGGTTCCTCACTCTGTATCCAATAAAATAAAATTAACCAATAATATTGAAGAAGATTGCAAAGAATTGCAAATTTTCTGTTTTCGTTATTAAGAATTAAGGGTTTTTTGTTGGTATTTCAGTTTAATGACGATAGTTCAAGTTTTATCAACTAGCAATTGTATTTATATATAGCTCAGAAACGAAGCTGTTCGAGATCTCATATTTTCTTATTGAGATTGCTGTTGTGCAAACTTACTTGTTCCTACAATTAAGAATTAACAGTTTAATTCCGTCATTTTGAATTAGGGCTCATTGAATAAAAAGTGGCTACTATTAATACTACCTAACTACCGAACCTAACTACCTAACTTGCAAACAAAAAAGGAAATATTATGTAAAACTGCAAAAAAAAATAAGTAATTACTTGATTAAAGAAAAGAGAGAGAATATAGAAAAGAGTATTTTTCCTTTTTTTTATTTTTAGCTTTTACGCCCTAACTGCTTACTCAACCCACAAAGAAACGCTGTTCTAGAGGGATATAAAACAATTTATAATACGAACGAAGCCACAATCAAAATCTAGTTCAAAATAAATGAGTCGCCTACAGGTAGTAAGTAGGTACAGACGCAACCAAGACTGTAGTAAAAAAGTTTGACATTGGATATTTGTCATTCATCGCTAGAGGGCGCTACAGAAAACTGTCCAGTTCGAGTTGATCGTATGTTATCCTAGCTATTGCTTGTACTCCACAATGCACGCGTATACAAAAAAAAACCTATCCTTTCATTGTCTTTTCTTCTTACCTAGATACATTTTTCCAATTACCTACTCCCAATTTTCTCATCTTTACATCCCAAAGTTCCCGGTTGACGGCAAGATGCTTGCTACTAGGGAATGTGTTCAAATTTTAGTTTGCAAAACGTGTACGTTTTAACACGCCTCTGTCTGTCCCTTCGAGACATATGAGCCGTATGAATATATGAACATAATCCTCTACAATTCCATTCCAATATCACAAACTGTGTATAAAATTTCTTAGGGCCCATCCTCAGAACGATATTTGAGAGCTTTTTTTTTTCGCGGATAGTGCGGTTAGTCCTGCATATAGATCCCATGTGTCACAGTATTTTGCGAGATAAATCGCGCGATAAAATATCGCTATGCGGACGCGCCCTTAAAGTAACTTGCAGTATCGGCAATACTGCAAGTTACTTTAACAGAATAACATTATTTAGATTATTATTAGAAAATACCACGTACTCACATAGAGGGCGTGTCATACTTTTTTAAATTTTATTATATAGACAAAATACGTACGACCATATTGTTGGAACACGTTAAGGCACAAGGCGTAATCACTACCAAATCAAAAACTATGATTTAGGGAAAGTTTTCTGTTCCTTTTGCTTTTAGTAAAAATTACTTTTAACTTTCAAAATGAAGAAATGTATTATTTAGATGAATTGTTGATGACTACTTATCCATTCAACACCACATAGTTTTTAATCTAACCCTTTTAAGTAAATCGTATATTCACTTATTTTTTTTTCATTAGCTCAATTTTGTCATTTTTGTTTTATTTTTTTATTAAATGAAAATCGCTCTTACCAAATGTTCGTCCGTGTAAAAGATAATAAAAGCGTCGAGAAAAGAACTCGCTGAGTATTGTGGGTTTCTCATCGCGCTGCGGAGTCTGCCAAGTGGACTCGTGACATCATTGGCGTCGGCGCATACTGGCGGTGATGGGACAGTCGGTTGATCCTGGATTATGGTAAGTGGTACCGGCGATAGAGGCATCATGGAAGTCGGAACAGGCAACGGAGTTGATGTAGTCTTCAAGGACGGCTGTACCATACGTACGCCATAGCACACTGGAAAAAAACGAATATTGTTGAAGGAATGTTTTTTATCCATTTTGAAATAGTTCATGATAAACAAATGTAAGGCCCGTGCAGCAGTGACCTCGATTATCGCTGTGTTTCTCTAGAAAATATCAATATTTCTATCTTTGCGTTTTAAATGTACAAAATAATAAAACAACAAACTCAACTTATTGAAATATTGTGACAAATTATGCCAGCCAGCAAACGGTAGTCCCGGAAGTTAACTGCTGTATACCTATGTACCTACTATAAACTGCGTTTGAGAGTTGCAGAACAGTAATTATGGTTGATGTATAAGTATTATTAAGACTTAACTGCAACCTTCAAAGCCTTTTTGTCCATTGAATTTATTTTGTACTAATGACATAGATAAATATTCTAAAAGTTTTTAAAAAAATTTTTAGATGAAGGAATAATGAAAACAGAAACACGTATCAGGCACAGAACAGGTAGGTACAAGTATCTTATACACGCAGCTACAATTACCTACATCTGTGCTTAATTTAATAAAAAATTGGGTGCCGGGTCAGGTAGATTGTAAACTGTGTAATAAAACTATTGTATTATATAGAATTTTTTTAAATCAAATTTAGAAAAAAACAATTTAAATAATTAATAAATTTCTTTGGCTTTAGTTATTTTATAAGATTATTGTTGATTCCTTTTTTAATGTTTTACATATTTTTTATAATGAATAATTGCTGTAATCGTGTACATACATCGGTACATGACCTTACATGAAAGTATTTATTACAACAGAACACGGTTTCCAATGTAAACACAAATGATGTAAAAAGAGATAAACGCACTGCCACGCGTGTGCCACGCGATAATTTTGTCCTTTTCCAGACGCACGATAACTAAAAAGCTCATCAGAAGGAGAAAGCGGCTAGCGACAGTGGCGTTTGTAGCGCGGGAATATACCAAGGCATCAGACTCAGTGAGGAGATCAACAATATAGAAAGCTTTCAAAAGCTCGTAAGTGCGAGAAGGATAGGAGAGGGCGCATACCAACCCTCCCGTTTTAACTTTTCTCCTGTTGTACGCGTGGTCCTTTTATTGTTGTGGGCGGAGCTTGTCGTAATGGCTATTGCCAACTCGCCTTCCGTTCGTACACAACTAGATAACTATAATATAAACATACCTCCCTAAGTAACAGTTTAACTAAAATTCGAAGAAAAGTTTGACATAGCCTTACAACCTAAAACTAACATTTTTGTGTACGACGATACACAAATATAAAAGCAAAACACCGAAAATAGGGACACACATGCATAAATAACTAAATTAACATAATATTAACATAACGTATAATAAAACTGATCTCTCTGTCTCTCATGTCTAAAGAACCTGCAACTGTACAACGAACCGTGTTCAAAGGTCAACGTCCTGGGGGTACCCAAGGGATGTGGATTCTATTGGAATGACGTCAACAAGTAGCAGGACATCAGATGTGCATAGGATGTTACTTTGTCCTTTCCCTTTCATTACGCCGGGGGGGTGGAGATTTCTCCAGAGTTGAATGAATGGAGGGAGGAAGGATTGTTGTAATTTGTTACACTGTTATGGTTGAAGTGACGTCTGGAGATGCGAGGATATCATAGTTTTGAGGAGATTTTAGATATGTTTATGTAAGTGTCGTAAAAAAAATAATTAAATATAAAATATATGTATATAAAAATATTGTAACCTAATTCGTTCGGCTCCTGATAGATGAAATTTAGATATGTTTATGTAAGTATCGTAAAAAAAAAAACTTAAATATTATATATAAAATTTATATAAAAATATTGTAACCTAATTCGTTCGGCTCCTGATAGATGAAATTTATTATTATTATAAATTATAGCATATTTGTAAACCACAGGAAACGGCAAAACGCTCTAGTGAAAAAAATATTTGGGTGTTATACTTTCTAAGGCCAGCCAATCAAGAAAGGTTTCCTACTTTCAAGAATAATACTCCGATTCAATCTCGATCTTATTTGTTAGAAATAAAACACATTTTACTTTAAAACCATTGTATTAAACTGTATGTCCCTTAAGGATGGTCCGTTGTATTCCCAAAGGGACGAAATATCCTGCAAGTTACTAGGACCGCATAAGACAAAGGAGGCGGTAGCGTGACGCGTCGTCCTGTAGAAGGATACTCAAGGATAAAAGGCAACGACCGCAAGGTCGACCGCAGCGAGTGCAGCGGCCGTTCACTCCAATACTGGTACGTAGTAAGTGACACTGATAAAATGCACACGACAAGTTGCATACATGTCTACATAATCACTACTACACTGACACGAGCGAAGTCAGTAATTATAGCAAACAAAGATCATTCGCAATACAATATGAAACAAGGTCTTGATAATAGGTATCAATGTAAGTTGGAAGTATAACGTCTTCTACAAATAACGAAATAACCTATCGTCTGTAGAATACCTTAAATAATTATACTACGTTAGGTCAGTATATTTACAATTCCGTCAAAAACAGTTTCGGGACTGTAAATACAAGATAACAGACTAGCAGCCCCGGATCTACGATTTTATCGAACGGGGGCAGAAACTTGATAATGGCGCTCCTCTCTACAGCGTTTGAGATAAATTACTTTAAAAAAACTGACAAATATAAAGATTCACTTGTAGTGTGTACAAGTCTACGGTGAGCCAACCAGCCTTCCGTATGCCAGGCGCTTTGTGTAGCAAGTTTTTTACTTTTAATCATACTACATACTGGGTGCCCTGCTTCTTCTTCTGCATATATATTGTTATTTTTGTTGTATTGCTATCACGCATAGATCTTATTTTAATAATATTTATGAATGAAGTACTTATAAGTAACAGTAATGAATGCAATGTAAGTTGATTGTAGACCTCCGAATATTTAAAATTGACGTTTGAGAATTGCCTAAAGATTCTGTTATTTCATAAGTAGGAAATACAATAAAAATATTCATCCAAGTTGTACGGTCGAGATCAGTTTCCAAAAAATGCGTGTGCGTAACAACAATGGTTTGCCCCCTTTTTGTACCAGGACAATATAGGTGGTATGGAGATAGCAGCTTCCAAAAGGACCGCCAACATTGTGTGGGGTGCTGTTGTAGGATGGAATTGAATGAACGTTCGTTATTGATCCTACACCTACTGCATCTCACTCTAACAAGTTGTAAGTATTGTTTTTACTTCATTTTACTCCACATGAACCACCGTAAGTTGTTACTTAATATTTTATTGTTTACTAAAATTTCCTCCTAAAATATTGAAAAGAATCCCAATATAAATTCTAAAACCAACAATTTTAGAGTCGCGTATCTTTCACAAATTCGTCAAGATCAATAAATTTTTAAGTAACGAGCATCATAAATATAAAATGTTAAACAGACGTGGCTTCGAAGTTGCTTCACTCATAAAAGAAATATTACAAGAAAATAGTTTCAAGACCTAATTTGATCGAAAGTTCAAGACAATGAAATTAAGCGGAAATTTTTTACCAACGTCTTATGACGTCAGTTTACACCAGGTTATCATAAAGCGGATAGAGTAGGTGCGCAAAAAAATATTTGCTTAAACCAAACTAACTCTTCATAAAGTGTTGTACTTTGTCAAAAATACAACCCAACAACTATTATTGATCGAAGTACAAACCAAACTATTTTTCGACAACTCAATACGTAACTAATACGGAAACGGTAAATTCTAAATTAAAGGGCGACTTTTTATACACGTGAAACGACAATAAAAACGATCTTCGGTGAAACAGAAAACTGGAAGGTAAACGAACATTGCTGTTAACTTGGAACACGTAACCCGTTCGCGTTTTAACGGAGTCTTGTACTAGGAGCACTGAATGCTGAAGAGACTGTTCGATATCGCAACTGGGTAATAGGTGCTTATTGCATAGGAGAAGGTATTTAGTGAAGTCATTATCCACACTTACTTCATATTAATTTATCTAATTTCGATCTATGACATAAAACACGTACTTCATGTACGATATAGTGTAGAGTGTTACCTATGTGGTCGGTACCTATAGATGGGACTATGGGACCTTTGCAATTGGCGAAGTACTCGTTACTATTAGTCTTAAATAAAGCTTGAAGGGTCTGCAATTAGGCATTAACAAGCTACTTAAAGTTTTGAATTCTAAGCCAACGAATGGCGAGCACAACGCAAAACCTAGTTCCAACTAACTATAATAGTTTATTGGTAGGTATAGTTATAATAAAATAATGTGAATGTGAATCCGTTTCATTTTAAGAGTTTGACGCGTACAACTACTCAACACGTTAAACAAAAGGACACAAGAGTAAATTTTTTTGCTAAAAACAAGCACCTTTTCTAAAAAAAAGCGCAGCCGCTAGTCGCGATCAAATGTAAATGGAAATAAAATTTAAGTTTTAGCCGACTCAAAGTGGCCATATGTCTTATTCGTTGTATTTATTGCTGTTTATTACTGTTGTAACACTTTGCAGTGTACTGCATAAATTGTTTGCATTGTTTAATTTGCAAAACAATTTGATTATATTGCCCTGTAAAGGTTAAATAAATTTACATAATGACACAAAAATGCGTAAGCACTTGAAACGAAGTAACAGGCTCCCATATCACACAAAAGGTATTGTTTTTCATTTTACAAAACAAAAGTAACGAGAGTAACGATGGACACTAATGAACTTAAACAATAATCAAGAATGAAATATAAATTTTTAGTGAAAAGAAAAAAAAATACGCAATAATATATTTCAGACATTCAGGTGTATTTAAGTAAGTAATTGAATCCATTTTAAAGGCAATGGGGCCAGGTAAAATGATACGTCGCCCATCGTAATTTAAAATAAAACTTCTAACGTAGTAGAAGTTATAAAATTGCTTCAAGAGGCATTGCTATTTTCCACGTTATATAAGAGAAAAAAAGTGACCGATCTGTACAATTTACAGTTGAGTTGCTGACAAATTCATCATACTACAGGTGATCTGTA